TTTTATTATATATATATATATATATATATATATATATATATATATATATATATATATATATATATATTTATTTTATATTAATTTTATATATATTTTATATAGATTAAATTTATATATAATATTACTAATTTAATATGTCATACTATATTTGATAAATTCAATTATATTATATAAGTATATAATTAGTGCCAATATAGTATTTAATTTCGTCGTGTATCAGCTTTAAACTCTTTAGCTTTTTGAATCAGTGCAATGTATAAAGTACACTTATCATAACGAAATCTTGCTTATCTTTATACTTATGATCACAAATTGAAGGCTGCCACGGAAAAAACTCATATAGAAGATACTGTGCAACAAATGTTGATTGAGCTTGTCACATTTCGAAATGTCATAGTGGCAATATTTCAATGGAACTTTCAATGAAACTTGATATATCTTTTTCCCTAGGATAACAACAAGCAGCTGCCGATTTACACGATGGTAGCACAGCAATCGATGGAAGAAGTGAATAAGTCATTATTGAGAGACAAGGGAGCCTACGATTTCAGTGCGAATTTTATCATCACGGTTAAGAGACCCTTCGACGAATGTCAATATAAATATTTCAAAATCGGCAATGATGTAATAATCTGTAACGTCAATCCATGGCAAAGGTAATTACACACGCGCACGTCTTTATTTACATCCTTTGTATCAATTTATAAAAATCAGTACGGAGCATGTCGCTATCTCGAATTTGAGTTTCTGCTTATAATCAGAAGTTTCCTAAATGAAATCATAATATCATATCTCATAATACTCACACCACATTTCTTTTCTGTTTTTATTTAGACCTCGAATCAATCCGATAATAATTCCCAACGACTTGAAGTTAAAACTGATGCCAATTAATTGCAAAGTGCTCAAACCTGGAAAAGTGAGAGTGAATGATGACGTGTATGTTCGTACTATTGCAGACGTATGAATAACGAAGATGATTTATTTTACACTTTTCTAATAACTTGTTTATTAAATTGATCAATATTATCGACGACGGGGAACGATCGAGTGAAATCGAATTCCCTCTAAGGTTTCATAATTTTATGCTAGATTGTATTATTAGGTTCATTTAATAATACTAGATTTACCGGATAATAAGTCAATGTGCGCTCGATTGTGTTGGAAACGATGAACTTACCGATGTGCATACTATATACAAGTATATTATATATACACTTAAAATAAGAATATATAATATATTTTAGTACATACGTATAAACAAAAGTATAATTGTCGTTAATACGTAGTATAACGACATTATACCAATACAATGAATTGTTTGCGTATAGTAACATCCAATAGATCCAGCAACATACATAATGACTAAATTTTCATGACGAAAATACCGATAAAAGATATGAAATCTTGCGCGCATTATATTATTTAGATTTTATCTTTTTAATTTTTATTCGTGTACTATTATTTTTAGCAAATTCGTTTCACTTGTTTTGTTACTCACTTATTAATAATGATTTATTCGTAATATGTATTTTGCATGGATATCAATTTATCATTTATTACATGTATTAAATATTTATAGTGTCTTGCACCCTTCGTTTTTTTTATAAACATAAATCATAAATATTTCCTGAAATATCGAAAATAAAACACACTATAAATAGAAATATAGATATTTTGTTATAATAATTGTAATATTCTAAGCTTAGTCATTTTCCGATGTAAAATTTTGGAATCATTATTGATCCACATGTGTAAGCTATCTCCTTCTTAAAGAAATATTTATGAATTTTGTTGTGTAATGCTATATAATGTAACGTGTATTAAGATAATCCATGTAATACGTGTATACAAAAAAAAATATTATACATAAAATGTCTTATAATGTACATAACGTACACACCTCACTCTACATACGGAATAGATAATACATACGGAATATATATATATATATATATATATATATATATATATATATATATATATATAATGTTATGAAATCTGATAAAAATAAATTTAAATACACAGAGTCTTGTAAATTTATCGCCGAATAAGCATACAGACACGTTATGAATGTGTGCATACACGAATGATATAATTGCGAACAATAAAATCAATGGATCGTATAGGGAAACAATTATTCAATGAGATGAAATGTACATGTAACGTCAAAAAATTATATATATATTTATATATATATATATTACTAGAATTTTATATATATTATATATATATATATATATGGCGATAAATTTACAAGACTTTGTGTATTTAAATTTATTTTTATAAGATTCCGTAACATTCCATGTTTCTTATACATTTTATGGGACGTGAAAAACTAAAAACTTAATGATTTCAATGTTGATGGGAGTTTGATATGGAATATGAATGTGGAATATGAAATATATGGAATATATGGAAATATTAGAAAATACACACACATACACACCACTGTCGCGTGTATTTATGATTTACAGCGAGTTTTCCTTTGCAACTTGACTTTTGGAAAATATTGAAACCCCTTGTGATTGAAGCGTGAATTTAAACGACACATACCAGAAATTCACACACACCAGCATGAACTTTTCTTAGCCATTATTACAGAGATTGATATAAATAACAATAAATATAAACACGGATGATCTTGGCATAAAGGACTCCAGTACACCACAAGGACTCACTTAAATAAAATCAAAAGCAAAAGAGAGAAAAATGGAAAAAATAAACCAGTAAACTCGGTAAATTCGATAAAACCATTCGAGAAAAATCGCATAGCTGTTTTTGCGACATAATACTTATGTTGCAAACGTGTGAACACGGACAAAAACGAAAATGAAAGCCATAATAATAAAGGCATCAGAGAATAACATCATATATGCATCCCTTAATCACAAATTCGTAAGTCGTACTTTTCATTTATTCTTATTATTTTATTATTTTCTCTTGTTACATTTGTAGATATCTTGTTGCACACCCGAATGTGTGCAACAAGATATCTATTAGAATAATTAATAAAGCAATTTGCTAAAACAATCGAAAACTTAATTCTGAATTCTCAAGTGAAATTCTCAATTCAGAATTCTCTCCTCAGAGCTGTCACGTTAATTAAGAATGCAAACTTTACTTACGAGAGAGAGAAATTAATAGAATTATATAAATATTATATTCACACACACAAAAAAATTATATAAATTATATAAGTCAAAGAATTATGTGCTTAAAGTAATAAAAATTACGCAGGATAACTATCAAAGAACATAACTCTAGAAAGTTTTGTAAAGCATATAGTTATATTAACATAGATATATTTAAAACACAGATTGCAATGATCACAAGTCTTTACCTGACGATTCTGACGTCTTTCGTAACTATTAAAAGTAAACAGAAGAGACGGAAAGGATGGAAGGAGAATATTAAGGAGAACGAATCAAAAATCGCATGTAATGTACAAGGTTGTTCGAATTTCGAAAGTTACTGTTAGGAGATAAAGCATATGTGGTAAGATTATCTAGAAGAATACATCTTTTGATGCACGAGTTCGATGTTTTAGATCCAAAAATTACTTCATCAGAACAAAGACGCGAACATCAAGATATAGTCGAATTAAAAATACCAAGATGGGTCAAAATCGGTAAAGTCGCAAGTCTACACGTATATCCATTAATATCGGGCAAAGCATATGTCGTCGACGAGTGTCACATGACGTCAGAAAAAATCAAAATGTACAAGAAAGGCAAATTAATAAAATGGGATCGGTTGGTATAGAATTCGAATACATGTTTTCTTAACAAACTACCAGCAATAGTTCGTGCCGTTATATCATAAATAACTAATCGAAATTAACGTTGAACTTTAAACACTGTGCCATCAGATCTTTTGTAGTGTATGATGTGATCAACAAATACATAATAACTACCGGTAATTTCCCGCAACTGAATAAGGTGTGCGTGTCAGTCAATAAAAATGACATAATATTAGAAACTATAGGTATGCCCACTATATGCGTCAAGTTCAAAAATAGAAAAATTATCAGGTGTAATTTCTGGAGCAATAAGGAATTACAATTACTAGCGAAAATTACATGCATCGATTGCGGTGACGAAGCAGCCAGATGGCTGTCCAGGTAATCATTCAAAAATTTTAAGTATTATGATATTTTATGTATAGAAATTTTAGGCGCTGTAGTATTTGATAGTATCTGTATATTAGATATATGTGAAGTGATTTGCAGCTTCTTATGTGGGTTAAACGTCGGTCTACGCTTGGGATATTCAATAGATGCCGCCTTAATCATGAATATATATTGGCAACACTGGCTCAGGAATTGCATATTGCACCAGAAAGCCGAATCTCATACATTCAGTTTGGTAATTAACATGGTCGATTAACACATTCAATGCTATGATGGTTCAATCGATGAATAGAACTATAATATTGTAACGTCTCATTTAATTACGTGTAAAGTGTAACCAATCGCGTTCAAACGAAAGCAAAGTAAAAGATATGTGCACCCCTCATACAAATTATATTTATTTATCATATTGTTAATAATTTAATTGTTGGTTAAGCAATAATAGAAATCATCATGGCATATAACGTATTATATTAAATGATCATATGTGTTCTTCCAACCTTAATGTGCGAAAATATGCACAACAATATAGACCGCAATGTAATATAATTTCATATACTATATAAAAACTCATGCTTTATATTAATTAATATATTAATTAATTAATATAATAATTAATATATTAATTTATATAAGTAACGCGCCATGTCAGGGAAACTTTTTGTGCTCTAAGTATAAAGTGCTCTGCTTTGCTTTGAGAGTTCGGCGTTCGATCTACACACGTGCAAAATTAATTAAGAAAACTAACAAAATTATGCTAAATTCAAGTAAAATTACAGATTATCGACTGTTAATAATTGAGTTCTTTTCATTTTCAAGAAAATGTTTGAAAAAATGTCTTTCTTCAATTCTAAATATGTTTGATATTTTATATAACACATTTCTTATTATTTAAGCTTATATTATTTGTTTTAATTTTAACTTTAATAGTATTTATGCATAAATTATCAACGTTGCGCAAAAATCTACAAAAGGCTCCATACTTTATAAGAATTAATATATTTTAAAGATGTATACGAGTTCATTGTGCATGCATGTGTGTATTTATATCATGATTTTGAAATATCTTTTTATCAAATAAATAAATATGTTTTATCTTTTCAGAATCCATTCGTAAACGTATTACACAGCATTATGATATCATCAGAATCGTATGACGATATGTCTAAAACATTAAACATATATAAACCAAATGAGATGATTTGTCCAAATATCATCATTTCTGCTTCAAATCTTTATAAGGAGAAAGTATGGGAGTGGATCAAGATCGGCAATGTAATTATCAAGAATATTCAACCGCTGGTAGTGTGGCCGAGGTAATTACATGTGTACATATATGATTACTTGATTCTTTTCGCATTTGCTTGTAATCGATCATCACATAGATCTGAAATCAATTTAATGCCGATTGTACGAATCAAGAATTCCTAACACAGATTTGAGTCTTCACAATGATTACAGAGAAAACAATTGGATTTTTTAATATTTTTATTCTGATTTAGGGAATATATATTTATATATCTTTATTTTAATTTAGGAGAATTATAAAAAACGAAGTTTGTGAATTACAAAAAATGAGATTATTTGGGTTTGGAGTTAATTGCAAAGTGTATCTTCCGGGATGTATTAAATTAGATGATGATGTATACCTTCATATACCAAAAGATAAGGAAGAAGTAGAGGACATAGAAAAAGTAGAAGATATAAAAGAAGTTACTAAATAAAAGAATGAAGTTATATAACGCGTCACTATTACATAAACAAAAACAAAAAACAATACACAACAAAACAAAAACAAACACAAACAAAATAAACACACAAAAACGCACACACAAACTCTCAATAGTTATATATTTATATTAAAACAATTAATGGAATATTAATTTTTAACTTTTGAAATATCGAGCTGAAAAAAGCTGTGAGAGACGTGGGCCATATGGGATTTATATACAATTAGGATATATACATTGAAATGTCAAATACGGATTTTTCGAATTTCGATACCCAAAGATAGCGAAGTATCGAATTCGGATCCGAATATAAATTCATAGGAGAATCAACCAAAAGAACATGTTTACAGCGATCTAGGTTCCTCTTAAAAATTTCACAATCAACAAATCAATATATTTTTACTGCGATTTGACAACCCGAAACGATTGAACTTATTTACGTATTATTACTTCAGTAATAATTATTTCAAAAAATTTTGTTATTAAATTGATTAACGTTTTTATTTATCTGTTTTTTTAAACTTAATTTGAATAAAAATTTATTTAATTTGAATAAAAATCCTAATTTGGTTTTGTATTTAGTTCTGAAATCTCTTCTTATAATTTGATATTAGATCTATATAGTTTTGAGATTTAGAATGAGAACTAATCTACTCGGAACTGTATAATTATAATACTTGAATATACTACGTTGACTAAGGCCGACACTCATAGTTGGGTCTTATATTTAAGGCCGTTTTAAGTCCGTCTTCAGATATTCTGTAGCCAATGAAATGATCCGTTCATTATCTGAAGATGAACTTAAGACGGTTTTAAATATAAGATCTGACTATGAATACCGGTCTACATAAGTCAACGAATTGTCTTTGGAATAATCCCACACAGCAAGATGTCCCAACATTATAGGAATACCTTGAAGATATCACATATCTCAAATATATCTTTAGAATATCCCTATGATATTTTGGACACCTTTGCTGTGTGGAATATAAAATAGTGAAAAGTAATTATCAAAGAACACGTCTAAAAGTTTCGAAGAATAACTTTTTAACGTACATGTACACTTAAAATATATCTTGCAATGTTTGCAATTATTTGCGGATTAATGATCCTGACGTTCCACGCAATTACACATAAAGTTTAATCTACAATGCTCCTTGCTTCCTATTTCTTGTTCTCTGTCTTTTTCTGCCTTAAGATTTAAAATTTTAATAAAAAAGAGATAAAGAGAAAGAAACAGGAAGCAAACCATACATTCAGATCAAGCTTAATGGACGGAAAAGATGCGATGCGAAATTCAAGAAAAGCGAATTCAAGAGTAGCAAATATTGCATGCAATGAGTGCATCCAATACTATAACCGCTCATAGAGCGCTCAGTAAGCTTTTGCATCTAATTGGTGCATACTTTTAGATCTAAAGGAATATGTCAGTCGGATGCAAGAATTCACTAAACACTCAATAAGCGGTTGTAATACTAAATATATCTAATATATACAAGAATTGTTTGTATTTCGAGCAAATACCACTAATTGTTGACCAATGAAATAATAAATTTTCTAAATAGTAAATTTGTTCATTTTTATAATATTCGCCACAGCATTCCAAAACATCCTTTTTAAAGAAAATTTTATTTAATATCTATAGTTCTCACGTCATATTGATAAATCTTTTTTTGGGCTTATATTCTGTATACATCTATCGACAACTATCAGTTCTGTATATGACGTTGCGCAGCTACTTTATGATATGCATAGATGTCTATACTAAACTAAATTGCTAACATTTCATCATTGGGATAGCATTGGTTGCGTCCGATAGAGTTTCCGGTATATGCGAGAAAATGGCCGCTGCCACCACATATTTTCACTACGTTTAGTTATAAAATTCTTTTGTTGAAAATGAGAAAAACAAATAATGTCCAATACTATCTTTTTTTTGTTGCGACATTTTTTGATGCAACAAAATGCTGGCATTTTTGGTTTTACAACAGCAATTTAATGGTTGACTCACACTGATGTTGTAAGATACTCACATAAGTGATACGCGTCACACACACAGAACTGCTGCCATTTTCTCGCTCACAACCGGAAACCTCATGCGACGCAAGTCCCTAGTTAGCAATCTAGTTTAGACATCTATGATGATATGTAATTATATCTGTGGCTGCGTTCCGAAATGCACTGCCAGTACTAAAAATCTATAGTTTATGTAACGTATATTATAGAATTTCAGTACTGGCAGTGAATTTCGGAACGCAGCCTGTACAACACGACACAAACGGAACAGATCGAGTTGTCGGTCAACGTGTACAGAACAGTTATCTTAATCGAGTCGTAGCCTCTTGTGAAACGCTTAGTCTATGTATATAAACCTATGAAAAGAATAGCACATTTCTATCTACATAGCAAACGAGTGAACATAAACTGAAACATGGAGCTGACAGGCACTTTAACGACACAAAAAATGCTCGACTTCATCCATGTAAGTTATACTTGTTTATTATTTCTTCAAGCTACTCATATATATCCAAATGCGAGGAGATACTTATTAAAACAGCTAATAAAATCATATGCTTTAACAATCGAAAGATCGAATCCAAATTTACAAGTCATTTTTCAAAGCTATGCCACGTCAGTTGTGAGTGCTTTTCTCACAAGTTATTTAAATCTTTTTTTATATAAGTTACATAAGTCAACGAATTATGATTAAAGGATTATAGAAATAGTGCAAGATAATTATCAAAGAATATATTATGCTAAAAAGTTATAAGTAATTATTCAACAATATCTATTAGCTTGTGTGGGTAATTATTTACTTTGGAGACCCACCTCCGATGACCTTGATCTTGATATATATTATCAAGGACACTCTCCTAAGTAACCTTCAGAAGATTTTAGCCGTCGCTCGTTGTTTATTAAAAAGTTATAAAAATAAGTTGCATAAAATGAATGTAATTTTTGGACACCGTATATACAAAAACATCGAATTTGTAAGCTAGGAGGGTACCTGCTGCACACACACACACACACACACACTACTCGCCACAAGCGCGCTTGCTGCCTGATAGGACGGGCTCGCGGTGAGTGCGTATGTATATACAGGGTGTTCAAAAAGTCCAGGACCGGTGAAATATCTCGAAAACTAAGCATTTTAGAAAAAAATGTTTCAGATAAAAGTTGTGGCGTTTAAAAAGATGTATTTACTGATCACATCAGTTTGACCTTG